TCGTATAGGATGACTCCAAAAAATCACGACGAATAATATTCGCATTATATTAGCTAAATGCGATACTCGCGTCACTACAATTACTGTGACAAAAGTTTTGCAGGGTCTCAATCCGCTGGATAGATGAAGTCTCAAACCATTGTAAACCCGCAAGTACCATAAAGTACCACAAACACGATAATGGACTAACATTTGAAACTACTCGTATTCATTATTTTAAATGTAACGACTCTCCTGTTCAAAATTTTGAATTTATTTGTATTACCGTTAACTGTTAATAACATATTAGGCAACAAGTGTGATAAACGGCATTTGACTCACGAGTTTATGTGACACGACCGGAACGCTTCGGAGCGAGTGTTTAATAAACGAGCTACTTAAAAAGTTTGCGCAACGTCTTGCATACTATACTTCTTCAACAACCGTTAGTTTTTGGGTACATTTTCGCAAAACAACACGAATACATTCACTGACATGATTCTCACAATTGACAAAGGTCAAAATTCAAGGCGTGGGAAATATCTCCGAAAACATCTGATTGCTTTCAAACCCGTGTGGTATAATCCCGGAAATGTCCGAAGTATCTCGGATTCGTGGGAAACGAAATTGACGTAGTTAAGTGACGCTTCCCGCGCGCTAGATCGGTGTGTAATTAGGCACTTTACAGACGGGAGTAGAAAAAAATCTTGGTTGTTTATATCAAAATGTATGTATTAGCTGAGTGTTATGGTGCCGTCATGTTCTTTGAGGCTAGTTGATAGTATTCGTCCTGTCTCTCCGCATATGCCTGAAATTTTGTCTTTGACGGTTCGAGGATGAGATATTTTTGGACAAGTGGTATATCTGGTGTCAACGTTATATTTCTTGCTCTCGGACTCATTTTTTTGGAAGGTTGTGGTGAAGTGTATTTTGCGATCGAAGGCTTAATATGTTTAATGTAGAAATTATTAGAGAAAAGAACGGATGTAAGGTGTTCTAATTTTTGGTTCAGTGACGTGGGTTGATATAGTTTTATTAATGATGTGACAATGCGTTAAGGTATCGGTTCGTGTGCGTATGTTTTCTGTAAACAAAAATTCCCTATTCCCGAAACACTCAACATTATTTCAGATATATCAAAATTTGTGAAGAAACGTCAGAAACAGGTATGGGTTTTCCATTATGATCGCGAATATATTTGAGAAGAAAGCCCTCGACACCTTTCATCCAAAATTAAAATTATGGATAATTATGGTCAAGAAACTAATAATTATTTCCCATTCTTAGATATTTTTATTAACAGAAGACAGACCTACGCACACAAACTGATATCTTAATGCACTGGCACATCACCATCCGATACAAATTCATCGGTTACAAACTCCCTTGTTGACAGGGCCTTTAAAACTGTATCAAACGGAGTCACCGAATCTTACACTACACATTACTTCTAGTATTCTCTCTAATAATTTGGACATTAGAGATATTAAGCGTTCCATCACAAAATGCACTTCGTCACAACCATCCACACACTTGCCATTGTTGTCCTTCCTCACATTCAAAACATCAAGTTAAAACCGGATTTACTACTTGTCCAAAAATCTCTCAACGTCTTCGATCCGTCAACGACGAAATTTCAGGAGATGCCAGGCGTTTACAGTATTCCATGCATATGCGGCAAAGAATACATTGGAGAGACAGTGTAAAAAAAACAAAAACACTCAAAGAACATCAAAGGGACTTAAGACTACGATATCATCAGTTGCCTAATACAAACATGAAACCGGCCATCAAATCTTAATGGATAAAACTAAAATTCTTCCATGTAATCAATTCTTCTACCAAAGAAAAATTCAAGAACCTATAGAAATCTATAAGCAAGCAAACAATCTTTACCGCGACTCACATCCTTTAACTTTCACAGAGTTAGTTATCCGAGTTCAGTTTCAGTTAAACTTTGAAAAAGTTCACTGGACGATTGGGGATATGTCAGCGAGTTTTCTTAGAAACAACCGAGGCACTATGACATACATTAAATACAATACATTATATTCTCTTAAACAAAGATCTGCAAATGTCAAGTTATTGTGAAAATAACGAGTTGCTTACTTTTTTTATTATACAATCCATCTTTATTAAATTTCAGTCGAGATTGAATTCTGTAGTTCGAAGTATGACTCAAGGGGTTAACGCTCCGATTCCTCTCAGGCGTATTATTTTTTGTTCCCTAGAAAATTTGTTATCTCTTTTAACGCATATATTTCAGTCGTCTGTGAACGAAACTCATCAATCTCTGGATCGGCATGACAGTTTCTACCATTACTTGGAGAAAAACCACTTTTGATATCAGATTCTTAACACCACCACAACACGAGGGGTGGAATAGAGATGGCATTGAAAGCAAAACCTCACGATAATAGCTATTTAAAGAGAAGATTATTTCCTTGTTATTAACATGTGATGATAATTTAATAAATTTATTTGTGGTTCGGTGGGGGGCTTTTTTTATGCAATAAATTAGTGCAAATGGAGGAGCAACTAGATGGTCAAATCTTTTGCACCACACATTTTATTTGTCAATTACATCCTCTTACATTTTTTGAATTATTTTTTGCAATCCCAAAAAAAACCCGGAAATAAAAAAAATATATGAAATACCAAAAATTTAAGAACCTAAATATTTATGCAATTTGCATTAAGTCATCACATATGCAAGGTGGTCGCAATTGGAGTGTTTTAAAAGGAAAATCCTATTTCTGAGCTAGATAGAACAAAATCGACTTAGATGTTAAGAGCTCGATTTTTTAATTTTCGGCTCTTTTGGATTCGGATAAAAACAATATTGGGGCATTTGTTAAGGCAAATGCATGGCTTACTCAGATTTTTTCTACAGTTCTCCATTTTTTCATAAATGAATACAACTTTCTTATTTTATGGCAATCATAGTTGGCTATAGTCTTAAAAAAATGATGTCGAGTCCATATAAGATAATATAGTGGTCCTACTATGGAAAAAATTAATGCGGCCCAACTGACTGAGTGGTCACATTGCCTTAATTTTTCTGGAAAATTGATTAATTTTTATAACAACGCAACATCAATCCGAATATAATTGGCAACGCCGACCTAAGTAATTACTATTGTCACGGAACAGTCTCTGTCCTGTGCCATTGTGGTTTTCATTTTTGATGTCAATATCTCCGTACCTTTGTCGTGTTTTATGATAAAAATGTCCACGCACTGGAAAACTTGTGTTTGCATTGCATGTTTTTTTTAAAGCAGATAACAACTTTTAACTGACAATGTTTTGGTTGGCAAAATGCGTCTCTTGCTTATTTCGTTTTTAAAACTTGTTTTTGTAATTGTGTGGCTAAACTTTCGGCAAAAATGTTTTTAACATGCATATGTTTTGTGGGTGTATAAGAAACATCCATAATCAAAATACTAGAAACGAGAGAAATGACAATGTTTCTTTGAAGAGCTAAATAAAATATTCTAATATATATAAAAAATTTTCCAATACCTACAATTTTTTAAACCAATGGTCCATTGGCACTTTTCATAATTATATATTTACTAGACTTGCAGTGCTGTCCATAGGAGCTGCTTCTTGAACATTTTTTTCACTTAGATGTTTCTTGTGCGATATCTAGCATCTCAAAGTGAATTTAGACATTTAACAGCTATCTTTAGTGATTTTGACTTTGTTTACATTTTCAATAGAAGTTAAACCTATGAGTTTATGAAAACTAACGCTTTGCGCCGATGTGCAAGCATAAAAAAATCGGAGAAAATTGTTTACATGAAAAAATACATGTAGAAAATGCATTGTATCTACATGGCTTAAGTTGCTTGTTGAAAGCCGCAAGGTCTAATGGGGCCAACGTCAGAATTTGCAATTAGAACTGCCAGTCGGCATATGAGCTATATGATCGAGTTCTTTTCAGAAGTATAGATTTGTTGGTATCTGTGATGAAAAAAGGTGGAAATATAGGGCATTTTTTGTTTATGTATTAGTCAGTGTTAGTTAAGGACAGAAATTTTACTCCACATATATCACAAATCAGAGAAATTGATAGATGTATTGAGACGTGGGAACGTCACTTTTGATATAAAATTCAACTATACTGGAAACGGTAAGTCTTAGTTCTAGCTTATTATATATGAATATACATAGAAAGTTTAGGGGAATTCAAAAATACCTGAATTCACAGGATGTATATATAATAATATAATCCTATTTACAAAATTTCTGGATTCCTCCTGTGTCGGTATAATATTCTAAAATTACAACATTTGCCTTTACGTTTTTTTTTATATTCGTTACAAAGATAAGGTATTATCCCACAATAACCAAACCACCACGTACAACAAAGAATCAAAAATTCTTTTATATTGGGTTATTTTAAGAGAGGTGCCGGTCCAGATACAGAATCCAGATTGTAATTTTTGATTTTCAAGACCTCTCGAAGAACTTAAACTTTTTATAAACCATAATTCACAACTACGTTTTCATTGCTGTCATTCGAAGCAAATCAAATAAAAATATTGGGGATATTTTCCTAAAGTCTGCACGTGCCTTATCTGTTTATTTAGGCTCTTTTTGTGTTGGCAATTCATGCTATTTTTATCTTTTCCATTAACTTCACTGAACAAGTGGTTTTTCGAATATATAATGTGTGGGGTATATAACTTTATTTGCTTCTATGTTTCGTTTTACATTAGTTCCACCATCCGGTGCGGACATTACGATCTATACAGCGTAAGCCATTTTTGTGACTAGCTTCGCAAAAATAATTAAAGTTACAAAAATGGTTAAATGGGAAAAGTTTTGACAGAATTTTGGACTTTTATTTTGTTTAATCTATAAAACTAACCAAAATTTGTAAAAACATTTTGAAACATTTTCTTTAAAAAACACTTACAGATTGTTTTACCTTTTATAGTCTAAAGTAACATTTTATTTAACCATTTAAACCAGTTTATTAAATGCACACAAAATATTCCAAAAGCGATACTTACTTTTGCATGTAACGATCTTTGATTACGATGACGATTAACAAAACGTTAGCTATCAGAGCAAGAAGAAATACGGGAACGTAGATTCCTATGACAACAAACTCGTCGTTCCTCAAATCATCTCTCAGCTTATTGTATATATTATCCAAGCTGTTTCCTGAATTGTAAAATGTAGCGGTTGAGAGAAAAAAACCCTCGCTGGAATTTTGGAAGGTATAATTCATCTTTAGACCTGAACCGCCCCCTGTAACAAAAAGCATCATTAATTTCGAACACTTGCCTTCCCTGTCTGACTTAGTTGACCAGAAGAAATGCTATCAAATAATACGGACATTGCCGAAGAGGATTTTCTTGGCTACAATCAATTTAATTAAACCAGAATCCTGATTCGAGCAGCGGTCAGAAATTTTACCTCTAATCTAGGTTTGTCATTCTTTCTATTATCATTATACAAGTTCCAAATGTAGTCTATTTCCTTTATTGCACATATTAATAATTATTGTTCTGGCAAGTTCTGGTATCGTCTTAAAATTTTCTCAATGAAAATAAATCGACGGCCAGACTTTGCTTTATTTTCAATACGAACTAAACCAACCAGAATGTTGCACATGTTAACCAACCAACCTTAAACCAATATATTATTTCTGATTTTCAGAAAAAATAAAAGTAATTTATTTAATGTTTTTTCTAAAAATTAAATCTGAAGCAAATTTCTATTACTGTGGAGGAAGAAATAATATAAATTTCTTAAAGAATTTATATTTTTTCGGTTATTCCGGGAAGATTAATTATTCATTTGTGTATCTGAATAACAAGGCCGAGTCGAGATCGAATAAGTAATACAGCGCAAACAGCATGAACATGAACCTATTATTGTTAAATCTCCAGGATTCCTGAAAAGGCACAAACAACCAAAATATTCCATTATTTCGGAAAGCACGTAAATGAGATTTTAGTTCGATTCGCTCTAATTTAGTTCCCGCGGGTAAATTTACTTTTGGGCCAGTGGCAGAAATTTATTGCAAATATAAGAATATGGAAATTCTATTGAGCAGCAATTTCTGAAACAAATTGTCTGACAGTCGGTTTAATATTATAATAATATGGGTATTTGAGTAGTATTTATGAAAACTGGTATAATTGATAAAAGGATTCTCATTGCCTTAGTCTTGAATTTCCTGTAAACCCCACGTGCCGAAATATGAATTTGTACGTAAACGATATACATGCGGGACCTAATATCAAAGTAGTATTAAATATAAAATATTATTTTAAATTATAAAATCGTGTTCACGTAGTTTTGGTTAGTCTTCCTAGAAGTATTATTTTAATCGTTTGATTTGGTTCATTTCGTTATTGAGTGTAACAATTAGCTTTCATTGCTGCAAATACAACTTTCAATATTATCGGTAAAATTTGAGATTATGTTGGGAATGAAAGTTTATTATTTATACATATACGTCTCTTTAGTTCTGGTTATAAGATATCAGATTTGTGAACTATTCATCAATGGTAGTCTAATGGTAACTTAGGTTCAGAAATATTTGCAAATATGAAAATTTCTAGCTAGGTTAGCTAGCATAATAACTACATAACGGCCAATTAATGTAATTAATCTTAGAAATGTAAATAAAAAATTAAAATAATAAAAGTGTTATGTTATTGAAATATTCAAAAATGAAACTGATACGGAATTTTTTGGCTTCGTCAAGTTTTCCTCCGATGTATATTTGATGTCACCAAAAAGAAAATGCTCTTATGACTTTTACACTATTAATAAATCAGTAATTTTTTAAAATTTTGAAAGGTCAGAACTACGAAGCTGCGAAATCTTTGAATTTGGTTGGGAACCAAATTCAAAGGTTTCAAAGGGGGATTATTTTCAATTTTTGGAACATCATATTTTTCCACAGGAAAGTGGGCAGCATTTTGAATCGTTGGTCAAAATTTTGAAAAATTAAAAAATTCTAATGGTACAAGAATGTTTTAATGTCGCTGAGTTGGGGAAAATTTTTAAATTTTAGAAGCTCATAACTTTCACAAGGGAGGTGTGCAATATTTTAAATAGGTCGTGCACCAGGCAAATGTGGGAGAGCAGAAGAGTGACTTTTGGTAATAGGAGTGAAACATCAACTTTTTAAAATGTTCGCAAAATTTCAAATTTGACGGAGACCAGTTATGAACTTCCAAAACCAGTTTTCCTTATCACTTTGGAGTGTCCAGCAGTTTGGTTACAAGTAAGGGGTCACAGAGAAATATATTGGTCACAACGGGTTACGGAAAAGTCATACTTTTGAGAGGCAAGTAATGCCATAATTAAAAAAAGTCAAGAACACGGAGCCTAGGTAGCTGGCCGAATAACCTTACGTAGACGTGGTCATTAGAAGTAATGAAAAGAAGAAGAACGAAGCCCAGACCACAGATGCAGGTTGCAGAATAGAGAAGCAATAGAAATTCAAACAGCGCCAACGTTTTCTTAAACGGATAATTTGATCGAATTTTCTTTTCTAGCATTTCGTCAGATACTACTTTTTGCATCTTTAGCAAATTTAATTACAAATACCGCGTAAATTCCCCGTAAAAGTACTTTACAAAATATTTGAAACCTAAAATAGCAAACTTTCAACGAGAAGATTTAAATCCAATTAAGTACTTCAAAAATCCGCTTCAACGTTCGAAACTTTGCAAAAGTCGAATTAAAACGAAAACGTGCGGAAATAGTTAATGACGTTTGCAGTAAAACTCCCGACTCGCGCCGACAGCGCTCTTGTCTTTAAAAGTCACAAATGATTTATTCCTACCATGCGTTTGTTTTAAAACTTTTTTGCTCAAGCTGACATCCACGCATCGAGGCCAATTACTCACACACTTTCACCCCTAAAATTGTTTTAAAAGTAATATTTGAGTTTGCGGTCGAAGATCAAAAGTTTTTCTTTGATTTCGGTAACAGAAAAGGGAAAGGAAATTTGCAAGATTTTCCGCTTTATTTTTTCTGTATCCGATTATATCGTAAGTATTTGCCTGGAATTGGTCGAAATGGAAAAACCACGAAAATTGCGCATAACCGATATGTAGACTATTTGCGTTACATTTCTACCTTTAAATCCAGATAAAAAGTGTTGACGCAATTTGAATTATTGTTTTACAGTTTTCACATATTGTTTTTAATAATATCTAATCATGTCTAATTAATGGAATAACTAATTTACATAATTTAAAAAAATCAAATCACATTAAAAACTAAAAAATGTTATATATGAGTATGTGCATCCAATATGGTTTAAAAGGAAATATTCAAAATCAATTTAATTTGCTGATGGAAGGCTCTTTGAAGGTATAAAACAACATTCGCACTCTACCTACATCAATTCATTACTTCTAACCAGCATGTTCCGATTCCGATTCCGATCGCATACCTGCCACTCTTTTCTGGTTATATTTAGTAGGAGCCTTCATATGATTTTGGCAACTGGGAACCTGGAAAGCTACATTTATAAACAAAATTGGCGCTCGCAGTTCGTCAGTTCGCAGTAGCAAGGCCAGAACAAATCGATAAGTTCACATACAATGGAATTATCACACAATCAATATATTAAACGGATACCATTACGACATACAAAATTCATTTGTTAAATACAGAGAACTGGTAGGATTATTGTATTACAATATCAAAATGGCAAGGTTTCTGTTTTTTTTTATTTCCGATTTTTCATCTCGAGAGGCTTTTGAAAAACAGCATTCACTGAGTGAGATTTGATGTGACCATCAGCACTGACCTACATCAAAATACTGTCAGTGTTTTAAACCGACCAGAAACATAACAGTGAACTAACCAATTCGTCACGAAAGTACCAGAGAGTCTCGCAGAGAGAGATTCTCGACAGTGTTTAATGAAGCTGACGTTTCAAAGTGATAGTTGGCATGCTCCCGGTTGCATTTACAGTAACAGCACGCGGGCTAGAAAATATGTTTTTCCGAAGCCGTGGCTAGTAACAACACTCGCGCTAACAGCAGTGACCAGTAATAACACGCGGGCTAGAAAATGTTACTAAAATGTTGGCTATAGTAATAGCGCTCATGCACGAGCGATAATCAAAACAGCACTTTTTCTATAGATAAGTATAGATCAACAAAACTAAAACACATACCAATACACATAGAAGCAGTGTTATAATTGAAAAAAAAACAGAACAGTAGAAAGAATACATTCTTATCAAGGTAGCATAAAAATACTTACAAAAATGTAACTGAAATTGATTTTTTTAGATAGAAGAATTGCATTTTTGTTACTTGACGTAAAAAAAAACAAATGAAGTATATTTTAAACATTATTGCGACCTATGTCTATCTTATAAAGAAAAAGGTGTTAATTACTTTTTAAATTTATTTCCTCAAAGACCCTTATTTTCTCTGAAACATTTGGCAAACGAATGCGGATTTTTTGTTTTGCTATTTGAAAGCCTATTAGTACTTCTCCCTGCTGTTTGAGCTCTTCTTCCACACAACAATGACTTTCTTCTTGAAATGGTAGTTGGCTGCACGGGAATTTTTTGCCATGACGCAAATTAATTTGTCTCCTTACGCTACGAACACCACTATATTTAAAACAGTGGTATAAACCGCTACTCAAATTATTGTCACTATTAGCATACTTGTTTTTATTAACCAGACATTGCTTTACAGCTGGATAAAAAGTAATAGGATCTTGGTCAATCTTATCTAAAATGTCAGTGAAAAAACTTTGCCATTCATTTTTAAGGACTGCAGTTTCCTGTGGGGAGGGCATATTTTTAATAAATTCTGAATTTATGTCGATGTTGTTGGAACCTTCATTGCTTTCCATTTTGCTTTTGTTATACGAATTCTCTACAGTAATTGGATCCATCTCCATCTCCTGCTCACTGACAGTACGCTGTAATTGTAAAAACATTTCCCTGTTAGCACATTGGCCACTCGCTACCTCATATAATTGAAGTTTTGTACTTAAAGTTAAAGTATTAATGCTAAAATTTAAATTATACTTCAGCAATACAGCAGCTTGATGTTTGCAATGCTTTCCGTTAAACCCAACAGGGCAAGAACATTTTCCCATAAGCATATCCACTAAGTAAGTAATTGTATTATTACCGCTGCTACGGACGGTATATTCAAATTTATTTATTTCATGAATCTCGTTGTCATTTACATTTTTACTAGATGTAACGTACCGATTTAAAATGCTTTTTGTGATTCGGCTCATAATTA